AACGTTGTCTAATTTTGATTCTGAAAAAAATATTTGAATTCAGCAGAAAAATATCTGTAGATCGCAGTAAACATTTCCCGTTTTAGATTCTGAGCGGAGCGATGAATGTATTGGTTTTACAATGATGTGTGTTTTTTTTTATATTTTTATATTTTTGTGTCTGTCATCACGTTTTGGGCCAGTAAAAGTGCTTCGATTTTCTTCAATAGTACCTTTTCTGATAGGAAAGTGAATCTAGTTGGTACTTTGGGGGTCAAAAGTAAACATTTTCCAGTAGTTTTCACAAGCGCCGGGAAAAACAACATAAAAATTAAGGAAAAACGGGAATTTTTACGCAAAATCGATTTTCCAAAAAATCGAATTTGGTTTTTGGTGTAACTTTAAAACAAATGACCGTAGATACATGAATTTTTCACTGGTTGTTTATAATTGCATTTTCTATACACGATAATATTTTCAAAATATTTTGATTTATTTTGAACTGTTTAGGGACATTTTCATTTTCCATTTTTTTTTAGTTTTTTTTCTAAAAATATCAATAAAATTTTATTTGTTGGTTGCGAAAGCTTGAAAATTTAATAGAAGGCTCCTAATATGTTGTTTCAAAGGCAGATGAAAAATATTAAAAATCCTTAGTCACAATTTTTTTTTATAAGCATTTAAAGTTCAAAAATTGACAAAATATGGAAAAATCACGAAAATTAGCAAATTATTTTGAGTTAAGAATTCTTAAAAAATTTTCTTTTTAAATTTAAGATTTGAAAATGTAATATAAGATTACTCATAAGTTTGTCTACCTTTATCAATAAAAAAATCTCTACCGGAAGGTCAAATTAAATTTTTATGAGCGTATGAAATTCAAATTTTTACAACATTGGATGTTCACTCGATTTCTCATCCAGCGATTTCCTTATTTTGTTGTAATTCAAAAACGAATAACTGTAGATACATGAAAATTTCACTGAATGTTTATATTAGCATTTTCTATACACCATACAATTTTGAAAATATTTTGACTCTTTTTGTGCTGTTTATGGACATTTACAGCTTTCAATTTTTTTTAGTTTTTTTTCTATAAATATCAATAAAGTTTTATCTGTTGGGCCAAAAAGTGTAAAAATTTAATACAAGGCTACTGATATATTGTTACAATATCAGTTGAAAAATATTAAAAATACATTGGCACGATTTTTTTTTATAAGCATTTAAAGTTGGAATTTTGACAAAATTTATCAAAATCTCGAAAATTATCAATCGTTGGAATTAAAAAATTATAAAATGTTCAGTTTTTATAACTAAGAGTTGAAAATTTAAAACAAAGATTCTCTTAAATAATTCATACTGTAACCAAAAAATCTAAGCAATATATGAACACAGTTATTTTTTACAGACATTTTAAATTCAAATTTGGACGAAATTACATATTAAAATCAATATTAACGATCTTGGTTTTTTGTTGTAATTTAAAAATATTATTCGGGGATATATGAAACTGAAAAATCAACACATTATGGCCTATCCATACAATCTACCATAGTATAAGGAATAAGAAGTATGCTCAATGATAAGACTGTGCATATTTTAAGGGGCAATGAATAATTTATTCATAAATTCCATATAATTTAATACCATAAATAAGTATATAATATGTCTTATACCTAGACAGACATACCGCCTCCGCTCAGAATCGTTTTTCTTATACAATGATATTATATCATTGAATTCAAATTTAATACCATCCATCATACAGTGACCCACTTGTAACCTACAGTACAGCAGAGCGACATCCACTTACCCACCTTTTTTAATATTGATTTTAATTTCAACTATGATTCGAAAAAGTTGATATTTTCGAGTTTTCAATTACAGTTCACAATAATATGAAATTTAGTTTTTACAAAGTGCTTCGTTATATCTAAAGACAATTTTCTGGTGACAAAAATTTTTTTTTCAGAATCAAAATCGGACAACGTTAACTAACTTATTAATTTTGTCAATACTTTAGGTCTTTTCGGCTAAAATTGACGGCAGTAGCGAGGCCCCTTAATGGCGATTAGTTATACTGTGTACGAATTCTGGCAATACTCATAATCGAGTAGTTTACGTCTTGTTGAACATTGCACGTGAATCGCATTGGTGATAACAATAAGTCACGCTATTGTGTATCGTCGACTTTCGATTTTCGTATTTGCACGACTAGAGAAGTGTTTATAGGAATGAGTTTGTCCATTGTTCGATTTTGGCACTCTTCCCAAATGTTAAATACTAGAAAAATTTGTTGTTTTTTTCATCTATTTATATTGTTATTATTATTCCTCTGATAAATTGGTTATAATTAAAATACTAACTAAACTATATGTATATGAAAAACAGGCGATTTTAACACTTACGTTTCACCAGCCTCTCCATACTCCATGTCGAAATTGGGGATTTTTATACTGCCGATAATCAACATAATTTTTTTTGGTTCGGAACGTGCAAGAACAACGAAGGTCGGGGACATCTACCATTTACCACTGTGAGTCGTTGTGAGGCCCTGCTGTTTTCCTTAGTGGCAGAAATTGTGCCTATTATTATGCCTATAATGGTTACTCAGGGCCCGTGCCGATGTATGTACAATTAGAATCTGTATCTGTGTTCAGGCAGTGACTAGGGATTTACACGACTTTACCAACTATATAGATATAATTTAGTTATTCATACCTTTGGGCAGGACTACCTACCTACTCTGGAGTGTCTACGACGTCATAAATATTATTAATATTATACATTTGCTATATATCTACCCACAATACGATAGTTGTACTCGTTTTAGTACCTATATAATATGCATAACACGATATAATGGGTGACGAGCGTAGGTATGCTTTTGGAATTTAAAAATGTACCAGTTACCCTTAACCGAATGTACCAGTTGTCTTCACATATTATAGTATACACGATTACATTACCATACCTTAAAATAGAGGAGGTAAATATTAAAATATGTTATATGTATATAATAAATAATACATATAATATGGAAAAATGCATGTCATAAAGATTAAAATTAAAATATATTTAATATAATATTTATAATTACAAATAGTATACAATGTAATTTGTTAAAAAATAGTATAAAATTTTAGCAGGCGTAGTAAAAAATGTAAACAATTTTGAATTTAAATTTTGAATTTTTTTTGACAAATTATACATTGTATACCGATCATAATATTATATAATATTATATTAGGTATATTTATTCTTTTATTATACTATTTATGCTTTCCTTATTTGAAGGGTTTTTATTGTAATCAAGTATATAATATGTAAGGGAAATTGGTACATTTGGTTGTGGGCCACTGGCGCATTTTTCTCTAAGTAGTATGGATGGGGGGAGGGATTTTACTTGTACATACATAGGTACTTTTGAGGATAACTGGTACACTCCTGATATAATATAATATATATTTATTAGGTACATGCATATAGGTACAAATATGGAATGCTCAGGGCTTGCAAACGTTATAATAACGTTATATTTGACAAAAAAATGATTGAAATTTGTAATTGTAATAATTATAAAAGTCAAAAACAATTAAATACCGCAAAACAAAACATAAAGATTAACAAAATATATAATATATCATTAAACAAAACATAACTCAAAACGTAATTTATAGAGCGTCATTAAACGAAAAATATCACAAAACTTAATTTATAGAATTTCATTGAAATAAAGCAAAACAAAATAATTTAAAATCTATTTATTTAAAAAAGTTATAATGGTTTCGTAGAAAAGCTTGTTTTATGCATACGGTCATTATAATTGATTATATTATATTCCGTATCCGGGCCATTACCTGCCCACATTAGTTATTGTTAATACATTTAATAGGCATTAACACTATTCTAAATAACGATAATCCCACAACTTCAAACTTGTTAACGTTTTAATCTTGAATAACGATGGATCCAAAACTTGGATAACGTTATAATTCTTAATGACGATAAACACAACAATTGTGTAACGTACCCAAATTGAAAACGGAATTTTTTTCACATGTAAGCCCTGGAAATACGTCATACCCAAATCGTATACCTATAATCAATTAAAATTATATTATACCGCTGCGTCATTACCACCACACCTAACTCGGGATAGGATTTTTAGGGGGCTTTGTAATTTTTAAGCGTGATAATGGCTCGTCTTGGGCTATAACATGATGTTGTAGGTATAAATAATATTATGGCGTTTATAAATTTAAACCAATTTGTTTCTACACTGCATGGACGTGCGGACAAGACTAGAAGTTAATTGACGAAATAATATACCTAATGTGCACGAAACACCGTTTCGAAAGAGTCAATATGATATAATTGAACCCCCTTCAAATTTTTATAGAACATCATGAAAAAAAAACTACTGCCGTGAAAATTCACACTCGCCGACGACGGAAGTGTCCCCGCCGCCAATCCGAACCCGTTTACAATTTTCGGGTTCGGTGCCCGAAAACGGTTTCACGCCGCACGTTTCGACCGCCTCACAGCAACAGGTATCCTCCAAACGTACGTCATAATATACCTAGGCATATGTTCGAGACCGGACGTCATAATAATGATGATAATAATATTATTTGGAACGATGTGGAGGTGCCACACTCGGAATACGAACGACTCTTCGAAACACACACGCAGATATTAATTAAATACAATATTTCAAGTCGTCGACGAGAGTGAAAGGATGAGCGCGGCGTCGGGTCATCGGACGTCCTACTTTCTCCGGTCCACGTGGATCGCTCCGCTCGACCTAAACACGGTTATAGGTAGGTGTGGATACCTATAACCCGAACCAGTGTGCAGACGTACCTATATCCGATACTCAGTGCACGATCGCCGGACGTCGACGGCGGACGGAATTTTTTTTTGAATTTTTCCGCGTTTCGAGCGGTCATCCTCCCGGGCCACCCGCCGCCCCTTTGCCACCGTGCCTCCCGAGGCTGTGGTGGGGTCGCCGCAGGATGAGACTCCGATGGTTTTCCATGCCGCTGGTCGTCGGCTTCATGCTTTTCCTGTGCGTCGTCCTGTTGGCAGTTAACTTTTTCGAACTCCACTGGATCCAGTACGAGCACAACAAGTTCCATCACGGACAAGAGCCGTACGCCAGGCCGCCGCCGCCGCCGTCGCCGTTGTCGTCTCAAAGGCACGTGGAGGTCACGAAGAGGCCCTCGTACATTGTCCTGGCCAAACGAGTGAGACATTTCGCTCCAAAATACAATAATATGCCTATATATAGCAGCTATACGTACACAAATCAATGATAAAATACATATATTATAATGTGCAGCGAGGTTTATTCGCGACCACTTTAATTGCAGCGATTTCGACACGCATTGAAGGCAGTACCCATTAATTTTTTGTTTCTAAATTTAATTTTTTTATACGACTTGGATTTCCTATACTCAACTCAAAGGATAACAGGTGGCAGTAGTTATAACATATTATCTAGGTTTTTCTAACCTCCGTCTATACTTCAGCCTCGCGACTTCCATAGCTGATTTTGAAATATTTTAAGGATCTCAAAGTCTGAGCGAGGATATGTAATATATAGTTAATGAGACAATTTAATCGGGTACCTACACGATCAATAAATGCAGCAATGCACATTGCAGGTATACTGCAATGGAATTTAGTACTCGAATTTCTTCGTCGAACACGAAAATCACCTCAGCACCACTAATTTAAGTCGTAAAAAGTATTTAATGTAAAAAGTACTGGGAAAATGAGTGCTCGATAAATCAAATTACAGGTCGAGTATATATTTTCCTATCGTGGACCGATGGTATAAAGTGCTATTAAAAAATAGGAAATGTCTTCTTAAGAAATACACACTGTAGTATATGCGTATACGATTTCATATTTTAAACATAGGTACGTATATACAGCAGTCATATTATAATAACAGTTTTTATCATTTTTGTTATTATAATAATATTGTTACCGTCTTACATATTCTTCTACGACTACTGTCCGCATGTATTTGATCCTTTTGATTTCTAAGATATTTTTTTTCTGGTTCACGATATTAGAACCGTCCTGTATAATGCATATAGTAGTGTATATATTTATGTTTAAAATTGTAATATTTTAATATAATCATCGTTTACCTACCTGCTATATCGTGTGATCATTTTCAGGCCGATGCTGGACACTTGGTGCACGTTTTCGACGTGTTCAATGTTTACGGGTACACGCGAAGACCGTTCGACAAAAAAGTGGAATGGGACGTTATATGGGCTCACGAATATCCGTTCAAAGTGTACGCCGACCAAATCATGTTTTCCGATTTGAAACCTCATCAAAAAGTGAGATATTCAAATTGTATCATATTACCTACCTGCCTACTCGTATTGAACAATCTCTCTCGTTAATACAAACGGCTAGAAGTGTATATTATATACCTTCAAACTTTCTACGCACCGTGTTGGCGTTTAATAACGTCAACAAACAGTTTAAGCAGCTATCACATGACTGTATTATTCTACTTAAAATATTATCGACCCATCGCAAGAATAAAGGCAGATAAGACATTTTTTCAAGAGACTAATATGATAACAATTGCATAATTACATAGGTATTCTTAGGATATCGACGCTCCAACACTTCTCTCCCTAATTAATTTTAGAGTGCCTTCGCGTCTTACTCATAATTCTATTCCATTTCACGACCCTCTCTGTTCAACTAATTACATGACCATTGAACCTATAAATCGCATGATGAGAATAGCGAATGAGGACCCCCCAATTCCTTAGTTTGTAAGTTAATTTAGTATATTCTTCTTATTTAATAGCTGTCTGTAATAATTCGTATACTGAGTATATTGTTATATTATTATTTATTATGTTATGTGTGCCCTTTTTACTTGGGTGCAAGCCCGTTTATATGTCAAAAATAAAATAATTGCTATGTACTGGTCTTGTCTTGGTGTATAATTTTATAAGTACACATGAATTTTACTATTAGGTACAGTCATAATTAACTCATAACATTTTAGATTCTAAGCGGAGCGATAAATATATTGATTTTACAAGGAAGTGTTTTTTTTTATATATTTATTTGTGTCTGTCTTTACTATTTGGGACAAATTCTTAGATTTTCTTCAACAGAATCTTTTCTGATAGTAAGGTGAAACTATAGTTGGTATCTTGGAGGACGAAATTGAAAACTTTAAAATGTAATACAAGTTTCCTCGTAAGTTTGTGATAGTGGAAATTAAAAAAAAAAGCCCAATAATTTTTTTAGGAGCATCTGGAGTTTAAATGTTGACAAAATTCATTAAAATCACAAAAATTGGAAAATTATTCCGAACTATAAATCCATACAAAAGGTTCTATGTATATATGAGATTTGAAATTTTCATACAAGATTCACCTTAAGTTTTCTTTCCTTTAATTCGTCTAACCTACATTTGACGAAAAAAAAAGTTTACTGGAAAGTCAAATTATTTTTTTACAAGCGTTTGAAGTTGGACATTAAATATTATTCCGTAAATTAAAAAATTCTCATCCAACGATTTTCTTTTTTGGTTGTTATTCAAAAACTAATAATCATAGATGCTTGAATTTTTCATAAAATGTTTATTTTCTTATTTTCTATTCATGATAAAATGTGCTAAATTTTGTTACTAGTTTTGAGTTATTTTTAGACGTTTGGAATTTGAAAATGTTTAGTTTTTTATTCTATAAACGACAATAAAATTGTATTCGATGGGTCAAATAGAACACAAGTTTCCTTAATTTTTTTATATAATACCAGTTAATAAATACTAGAGATCCATATACACGATTTTTTTTACAAGTATTTTAAGTTAAATTGTTGATAACATTTATCAAAATCTCGAACATTTTCAAATTATTTTGTACCTAGTCAAAAAAAATATAAATTATTTAATTTTTATGGCTAAGAGTTGAAAATGTAAAACAAAGATTCTCACAAATAGTCCATACTGTAACCCAAAAATCTAAAAAATATATAAACATGGTTATTTTTTACAGGCATTTATTATGTTTATGAAATAAAATATTAAAACCAATAATAATAATTTTAGTTATTTTGTTGTAATTTTAAAATATTATTTATGTGTACTTGAGACTTTTAGAGTACATTATTATATTATTTATATTGTATACAATATACAATCATTGCCATTTTAAAATGCAATTTTTTTGTATATAACCTACTGGAATACTAATGCCTAATAGTAAAAAAAATCATAACATTTACTTACCTGGTAATATTAGACTCTTAAAGGCTGACAGACCTGTTCGAGCTCAATTCGATCGTTTTTCGTATACAATGACTATTGAATTAAAATTAAGCACATCCCTTATACAGTGACTCTCTAAACACCTAACATACAGCAGACCACTTCACCGATTTTTATAATATTGTAATATTTGATGGTTTTATGGTCATACTTTTGATAATTTTGAGAATATTTCCATTCATATTTTTGTTTTAGTTTTATAGGTCTTAAAAGCGTCATACATAATAGCGTTTATTATATAATATTGCTTCAAAAAATATACTTACGTCTTAAATAATATGTCAATTGCTAATTTACTTGCAGTGGAATATGTATCTAAAATATTTATTTGTTGTTTTTAAAGGTCAACCATTTCCCTGGTGTGGGTTTTATAACCAATAAAATTGATTTGGCAACATCGAACATAAAATATGTACCTCCAGCTTTTCACATGCCGAAGGAAAAATCAAAATTTTTTACGTTTGTAAGTTATATTTAAGGTATTCCATTTAATTTATTTTATGCACTTTATAATGTTACAATATTTTGATAAGTAGTAACTTTTCAAATGTATGGTGTACAGTTAAACCTTTTTTAATATTTTTATTATTGAAATTAACTTTTAAGAACTTATTAATAATTATTGTTGGTATGAATGTTTTGTTTTACATAGTTGGATACATTTTCAAAAAAATAGTTATTCAACTCACGGCAAACATATTTTAAAATCTAAAATGTTATAAAATATAAAAAAAAATTGTTCAAACATCAAACATAGTATATTATAATAGGATACTGAATTGTTTTCTCGATTTTTTTTTAAGCTCCACCAACACAATAGATGATTTAATTATTGCGTAAAATATCTATGTTTTGTGTGCACGCAACGGATAAATAATTATCTACACAAGTTAAAATAACTTTAACGTCTGATTACCAGTTTTACAAGTTACAAGTAAAATACTAAAATATTATATTATTTATTTGGCCGAAGTGATCAATCAAAAGGCAGCGTAGGTACTTACCTGCAGAGTTCACTTACATTTATGTTAAATTATATAAATTTGTATTTTATTCGTTTAACAGCCGTTGTCTTAAACACTTAAGTCCGACCGTTGACAAATTTATTATTGTAACGCTCGTGGTATATTATATAATTATTATTATTGTTGTTGTAGGCCAAACAGTATCCTCATAAACTGTTCGTTCAAAAGCAGAACAACCACCGTGGCATTAAAATTAAATCCATCAAAGAATTGGACTTCAATTCGAACGGTACATTTATTCAGGAGTATATTGATAATCCTCTGTTGATTGATGGATATAAATTTGATATCGGAGTGTATACAATCATTACGTCCATAGATCCTCTTAGGGTTTATATATACAACGGCGACATTTTATTCAGGTAGGTACACATTATTATGCGTTTCAGTTTGTTTTATTTAACCATAATAATGGACAATATTTGAACGAACTTTTATTGTAATATATATTATAACATTATTATGTGCCGCGTGTGTATTATTGTGATCAGTACGTATCAATTCGTAAAAAAATTGTGTTTTTTTTTCGAACTTTACAACCACTTCAAAGGCTTAGATCGTAATTGGCACCCCTTGTACAATATACATATACATATACTCGTCATACTTACTCAACCTTTTTTTTTTTTTGATTTGGCCCTAATAACCATTATTTTGTAGAATAGGTGGGATAGGGGGGGGGGGCTTACATGTCCTCACACGATGATTCAGAAAACATAAAAAAATCAAACAATTTAATAAAGACTTACAACTTGCTGTTCAACTGATAAATAAATATCACCTGTATACATTTTAAATCAGCTTAAATTTTCTATTTTCCACATAAAAACCACTTGTCGAACCACTTGTCAAACCACAGTTTGAGTATAACTTTCATACTATAGTACCTATAGTATATAGTGTTATGGGTTGTTTTTCGATTAATCAAATTAACAATGTTTTTTTTTTATAGATTATAATAAAATTACTGGAAAAATACACCGTTTTATCCAAAAAAAATATAAAAAAATTCTGTCCATTTGATGTATAATCTAATGATTAATGAGAAACTAAATAATTTTGCTATAACATCAAGTGATCATGTTAGCACGTATAATATTCAAAATGAAAATAAAAACATTTTTAAGAAACGTCTTTAAGAGGACGCTACACTCACATTCGTTGTCTCCGTCTTACAAGTGCGTAACATAGCAAATTGTAGGCTCCACAGATCACGTTTATCTCCTTTAGTTTAACAGTTAGAGTAAATTGACTTCCTATTAAATTTAAAGGTAAGATTATTATCGAGAGCATCTCATATCCTTTTTATTATGTATTAATTTTAGAGCGAATTAATACTATTTTAAAATTGTAAATTGTTTGTACATCTTAAAATACACGATATTCGTTTTAAAATTAAAATATAATAAAATGCCTATGAGATGCCCTCAACAATAATCTTACCTTTATATTTAATAAGAGTTCAATTCACTCTAACTTTTAAACTAACGGAGATAAACGTGATCTGCAGAGTGTAAAATTTGATATGTTTCGCGTTTGTAAGACCGAGAAAACACATGCGGGTGTGGCGTCCTCTTAACTGAAAAAATTATAACATTATAATATAACATGTTCCTATTGGCTATTGGCCATTACAAAGGACGGACACTAACTAGTTAACATTTTAAAGTTAAGTTACTTTTGACTAAGTTACATAAAGAATTAAATTCTTTTCATAAAACCACATATGTAAAATATATTCTAAAATATTATAATTTATAGGTAAACAATAATAATTTATATTAATGATTATAAATTATAATATTACATATTCTCATAATATATTAAATATATTATAAACAGAAACATAGAGGGATAGTCGCGTCATTTAAATAATGACAATTTAACTATTTTCTTAGTATCCCATACACGTTTATACACAGGTAATACTAGTTATTGCTCAGGTATTATTATTTTTATTCATTCAAAAAATTTTACTGAATTGAATAATATTTGCTATTATAATACGTGCAGGTAATTAATATTATATTTTAATAATGAGTTTTGGTTATTATAATATTTACCAAAATTGTGGACTATTAAGGAAATAAATAAATACAAATAATTTAATTATTTTGTTGGATTTCGCACTCGATTTAAATATTAAAGTAGGTATATAAGTACTTACAGCAAATAATTTTAATACATACATTTATTTAAAACTGTGATACCTCTATTAAATTGCAATGTTATTACCTTTTTTTTAGTTTTAATAAAAGGTATAATTATTAACTTTGTATGAACAAAAAATAACTCTTAACTTTAAACTGAACTTACATCTTTCTATATTAACTTAAGAGTTAAAAAAAAAATAATTTTTAACATACCCATCATGTTTATTACAATACTTATTTTATATATGATCAAATTATGTCCAACCAATGTGATGTTATACCTCCATTGGGAAATATGTAGATTGTTTGAGAATGAAATGGTTTATATTGTATGTAACATAATAATACACATTCATAATTTTAATAAATTATATTTATTTATTTTAATCCAATGAGTAAGTTCTAAATAGATTCGACTACAATAAGATTTTTAAAGCTTCAAATAAAAAAAAAACATTTACTGTATATATGTAACTAAATGATATACTTAGAATAAAAACTACGTAAGACTTTGTGAACAAAAAATAAACTATTGGTAATATATTTTAAACTGTTAAACAAACATATTTAAAATATATAAATATAACTTATAATAAAATATTTTAGTAACATAATTAAATTTATAAACATAATAGTAGGCCAGCTAGGGCATTTGATCGGTCGGCATTTCCTGTCCAAAATACAATCTCTGATTTGAACTGATGCTCAATAACATTCTATACATACTCAGCTGTTACCCTAGAGTTACAATATGAAGCAATATTATAAAATATATGGCCAATATGAATAAAATAAAATTTACTATATCTCTAATACAAACTATATTATATAGGTAAATATTATAGTTATCAGTTATCACTAATCACGCAACAAGGTAGAACAATTCCAATTAATATAATAATTTGTTCTTTACTGCGAAATTGTGGGTTTAATTATCAGACGTATTGAAAAAGATACAATAATAGTTCCTTAATAACGTACCTAACACACGTAAGAAACACTTTTTATTTTACCTATTTATGTCGGTTTTAAAAATAAATGTGATCATAAATTATTTAATTTTTCACCATAATCATTACGATCAGTTTACCATTCACGATTTATACTTTTATCCATACGGCCTAAATGTACACCTATTTTGGTACTTTTTTTGATTTTATTAATTTCTTCACAATATGCGTATTCTGCAATATTTTAGGTGAGCTATAGCATTTAAAACTAAGTATGATGTCTGGAACAATATACGGATCATTATGTGTGGTTTTTATTATTTTTAATTATAATAGGCAAATTAAAAAACGTCTACGAAGAAACTACTATAGAATAATATGTAATTTGTAAATACTCGATTTTGAATTTAAAAATGTATTTCTAGATTTTGCCCTGAAAAATATCATCCATTCGATCCCGACAACATAGACAAATATGTAATAGGAGATGACTATTTACCAACGTGGAATGTTCCGTCTCTAAAAAAATATTACGTTGATCAAGGAGCTTCGATGAAAGTTTCTGTTGAATCTCATCTGAAAACTCAAGGTGATCACCGGAATTCCGGAGAACTATAGTCGGACTGACTGTTATTGAAATATCGCTGTTTCTTGTTTAAAGGAAAGGATGCCACAAAAATATGGGACCAATTGGAAGACGCCATACGAGTCGTGTGTTTGGAAAAAGAATCAATGATAAGAAACCTAATGCGAAATTACAAGTCGAAGACGAATTTTTTCGAAATGGCACGTTTTGATTTTGTCGTCGATAACGATCTAAAGGTGTATATAATGGAGGTGAGTTAATCGGATTCAAGTAGAATGACATGTTTTCTTTTTTTTTTTGAGATTCATATAAACTATTGATTGCGATTATTTTTAATTGTTAAATTTGTTTTCAGGTAAACATGTCGCCAAATTTGTCGTCGGCTCATTATCCACAAAATCGTTTACTTTACGAACAAGTGTTATTCAATTTGTTTGCTATTGTTGGCCTGACTCATTTTGAACGGTAATATTGGATGTCTTTGGTTTCCATTATTTTATTGATACTCATTAATTGTTTATAACACTAGAAGGATATTAGGACAGTGACATTTTAAAACTATGCATTAGAAGTATATAACTGTTTCAGCTATTTAGAACAATATTAGAACTAAACAACTGTAGAAATGTGAGCAAGTCTGTTTTAGAGCAAAGTTTAATAAGGCATTTTGTAAATATGTTTAAATACTTAAATAAAATAGACTTTGTAACTGTAAAATATAATATATTAATATATTATTAAAATATAATGAAGTGGACTTACACATTGACAGTGTACCTATAAATTACGTCTTAACTCTTAATTTTCACAAGTCATGGCTAAATATTGTAGTTTAAATCAGAGGCGACGAAATTAGAGACAGACAAGATTAATGTGTATTTAAAATACTCGTTGTTCATATACTTGTTTCAACGTGTTAAAATATTAATAAATGGGTTTATTCCTAGTACCTAAATAATATGTTGATTAGGTAACTAAAATTTTTAATAATTTTTAAATTTGCGAGCAATAAATGTTCGACCAACGATGAAATTCTTCATTATTATTATTATTGTTGTATTCTGTATAATTTAATGACACGGTGTGTTTCGGCTTATCATTCATATTTAAATAATAATAATATATAAACACTACCTATACTGTTGTAGATAATATTATACATCAAACACCTTTGAGCGGTGTAAGTCGGTATTACGAAGAGAGTAAAATCAATTGATATTCCTATTGTAAAAACCTATTCAATATTAGAGAGCATTATGTTATACATTTTTGGGAGTTGTCTCCGTCGAGTGTGGCTTTTGAATTGGCGACTACAACAATATGTTATTATTGGTTATAATAATGTTATTTTTTTCATTGACTTTAAGTTTCAGTTTTCTCAGACCTCTGATGATAATAATAATGTATTGTTTGCACGAATGGTATGTTTAGCAAAGCAGACAGTATGGCAGTGTCCACGAAAAACATAGTGGCATACCCGGAAAAGTGCGCTAGACTGAATTGTGACCTGTGCGATTCAGAAGACTGCCTACTGTGCAATCCTTGCATGGACCGGGACACAAAAGTCCAATTCACAAATGCCTATCGGGAATACATCGATCGGCATGACTGCAAAAGAGTTTTCCCGCCAAAATTTGTAAGTTGTTAGACATAATTGTTGAATCATGAACTGTGACGGATTTGTTTGTTTTTTTTGACGTTTTGACGTTTTTGTTCAACTACCTACGACTATTTATTATATTATATTGTATTTTACACTAAACGGGGAGAGCTGGGATTACAGTGACTACTCGTCGAAATCAAGTCTCAAACATGCGTATTTTAAAATATATAGGTTATGCAATGAATTTCGATCGATTTATTAATTTCATTTCGTTTCAGAACCCGAACTTTTTGAACAACTCTGAAGACCTTAGCAGCTATAGTCCGAAAACGCGTTTGATGTATAAATGGTTCAAAGGAAAATGCATCGCGGACATGGAATGGTGTTAATAACTCAAAAATTGTGTTTCGCTAGAAACCGCGAAAAGAGGCAAGTCACTTCTACTTTTAATCAAAACGAAAGCCATATTTATATTTATAGTTTTTTTTTTTTTATTGTTTTTATATTATTATGTAATATTTTAATTAAAATTACAAAAAGTTAATTTATTTACGTAACCTTGTTATTTTTATCAAGTAAAATTGAGTTACTCAAATCCAGTCTGTTGCTATAGCATATAAGTATAATAATAATATGTGTGTGCGATCAAAAATATTTCGAATATGTTACGTGACAATAATATTTATAAGCTTTAAAACTATTATAATATTATAATATGAAGATATATATAGGCAGCCGACCAGAGTGGCTAAATTCGAAGCTATAATTCTAATAATTTTCAAGCATCTCTATTGATAAAACATTTATCACTAGCAACCTATAATATTATGTTTATGCGTGTGATCCGCATTTAATGCATACAACAATTTGTTGTGATCATAAATTACTAAATCTACATTCTTATTATTTATTATATCAATAGTTTGAATAATAGTTCTAAAATGTCTAAGACTCTAATAGTCGCTAATAATATTATTAATGAAATTAAATATAATGGTAATGTCTTATAAACGTGTCAAAGATCGAGTTCGTCGGGTAAATTATTTTCGTTTTCGGCCCCGCGGAAATTTTTCAAAGAAAAGATATGAGTTTTGAATTTTCAGTTTATTTTATCACTCGCCTTTCGTTGTTTCGTGCGAACAACGAACTGTTTTTGAAATCAATAGATATAACATAATCTCTATAGTCACCGCGATTCTATAGTAGTCAATAAAACCACGGCGAGCAAGGAAAACGTTAGTAATTTATTTTAATTATAATTTTTATGGTATTCATTAAATAGTTATAATAATAAACTGCTGTCCTCCGACGGCCTGCGCCGGGTAATGGATTTAATGGGGTCGATATTTCGTCGGTCAAAAAGTTTTGGGACTAGTAAAATAATATTACCAAGAACGAAAATCTTAGTGAAGTGCAACATTTTATCGTGTCCGACTAGGATGTTGCGTTACAGATCTTTATTTTAATATTTCGATATGTTATTAGCTCTGATGGCTCAACAAGTGTGTTGTATTATATTATGATAACGCGTTGGTCTATCAGTGGCGTACTGGCGTGTTTGGACGGGACCCATTGGCCCGAGTGGAATTTTTTTTTTACGAATGGACTTGAGCGTTAAGCGGATTCGATACCGTGATTTTCTGTTTTTGTCCAACACATGCGTGACATAGTATTTTAAAGGTGTTTTTTACCAAACATTCCAATTGATCATTATTGAAAATAGATTTGAATTTGTCGTCAAGTCTACTTGAAATCGACTTTCCCACATTTTTGATTTTTTGATTTTAACTTCTCCAAAAGTTGAAATACCATAATATTTAAATACTCTTTTTGAACATGTTATTTTTAAAAATTTGGGGATAATATCAAAAATTTGGTAAAGTCGATTTCAAGTATTCTTGACGACAAATTCAAATCTCTTTTTAGAATTCTTATCGCTTCATTAAATCAATTGGTACGTTTGGCAAAAAACAAGTCTAAAATACTATGTCGCCAGTGTGTTAGACAAAAACAGAAAATCAAGGTATCGAATCCCCTTAACTCACGACTCAAAAATTTGTCGAAAAGGTGTTCAAATCGGATCCGTCATAGATGGTGCCGGCGACGGAAATAATATGAACTATACCTAACTTATAATAATTATTTATAATATTATTATAATTGCGTGCTTGCAGTATATCGGTCACTCATTAGCGCCCTCTAACTCTGCACACGACCTATGGAATGTTAGTGTATAGGCAGATCCGGTTCATATGTATTATGAAAAGTTTATTACAAATATAAAGGTCCATCACACGAAAGTTATAAAATATCTTTTTTATAATATTTTTTTATTTATTTTTTTTGGTGGGGGGAGGTGCACTTTTGATGTGAGATCCTAATAATACGCCACTGATTACCTATAAAGTACATAATGTGTGCTTGCGAAATAATATAATTTTTGTAAGGGCGTAATGCATATTATGCACCCCGCAATTGCGTGTTTTCGATTTTATTTAAATTGATATATAAGCGATCGATTTGAATTACATTGATGTTTAGGCGATCGATTCGATTTACATTGATGTTTATTCAATCGATTCGATTTAAATTGATGTTTATTCAATCGATTCGATTTACAATGATGTTTAAGCGATCGATTCGATTTAAATTGATGTTTAGGCGATCGATTTTGGTGATCGGCGTTTACGAATTATTCGCTTTGATATCTCGTGAAGTTTACGATTGTTGTTCTATCTAGATAAGGGAACTAAAAAAAAAAATAATAATAATATAAAAACAGCTTCTCGGTGGGTGGTTGACGACGACGTCGGCAAACGTGTCAGTCCTGTATAATATTATTATTTTAATAGTAAAATGAATATAATATAAAAATAATAACGATAATAGTAATAAGAAAAATACGATCCTGGTATAGCTCCGTAGCAAACAGTACCTGGTAGTAACAGGTATATACCAACAATCGATTGTGAATATTGTATGAGAAAGAAAAGCAAACATTATTATATATTATACAGCCGATATCTTACGAATTTTCTGTTTGTTTTTTTTTTTCAAATCTCGGCACGGTAAGTTCTGAGTATGAGTGAAATGACGGGCGCACATAATAAGAATATTATTCCTTGCGCGTTTTACCTAGAGAAAAATAATTCAGAGTCATAGGCAGAGTGTGCGGGGCATAATATATATTATAACTAGTGCTAATGCATAACTAGTAGATTGGGTGCAGGTAAAACGTTTCTGTATCTATATGTGATTGTATAACCGATAGAAAATGTCAAAAATAGAAGTGAGAAATCGACGATGATAATATTATGATAACAATTCGCACAGTAATGTGCCGAGGTTTTGAAGGGAGTGCACTGCGGAAAGTAGCCACCGGATAAAGTAAATTTCTGAAGACTCAGGATAAAGTTAGGTAATATTATAGCTATAATATATATGCCGCAAAAACAGAGTAGTCTATTGGGAAATTAATAAGTTTATTACATATAGCACACATACTGATAGATGGATAGATTAATATTATAGGTTTACAAGAGATTTTAAACTGTTCAGATTACGCGATTCGAGCAGGTGGTTATTATCGAAGACTGATCCACGGAGATGACTCTGCGATCGAAAGTCGTTATTATGCACAATATATTGTAATAATTACTATGTCGACTGTGTGAAATCGCCGATGGTCAGTATAATAATAACAAGCTGTATAATAATAATGTGATATTGCGGAAACTGTAAATAATAATAATAATAATAATGATAATAAAAAAAATGAATAATTATTATACGACGAAAATAATAATAATAATAATAATAATAGTAGATTTTGTCGAATGTTTCTCATTCAGGGCTGTGGCAACGTCAACGACAAAGTGTGTTTGTGCACCGGCGTTAAGCGTTGGGTGTTGATGGTTTGCGTTGAATAAATCACTTTGTACTCTTTCTCATTCTCCAAACAAAGACCGAACCTATAGCGGAGTAAAAAAATAAAATAAAAACAGAAACAAAACAGAACAAAGGTATAATAAATATCAACAAAATACTTGTAACGTGCAAAAATATCTAATATTCTAATGTTTAATTATACACATGGCGTAGGTATATACATTATTATGCTTTTGCATAGCTAAGAGGCAGCAGCAGTACCTAATACAATATAACGCTGTAAATGTTTCATCAACAATTTCCCAAAGAAGAATAAAAAAAAAAAACGTCATGCAATATTCACGTGCGTAGGTAGATATACAGAATAATGGCAAATTTATGATATTATTATAGTATACACTTTCAGCATTGGCATTTGCTCGGCGACCACAAACAGCCTTTCTTATAATTGTACATTTTCATTTTTATTTGATCTCTACTTAAGTCATTTTATAATATCAAAAAAATCACCGCTGCAATAAACTGCAGGTTGATTCGCCAAGCATGCTTACCACCATTTTTGCCATTAATAAAGAATTCGTTCAAATCCTGATTTGTAGAGCTTTTAAATATACCTACTCAAAGACAACTTTTTAAAATTCTTGAGTTTTTTTTTTTTTTATTGTACTACTAAAGGATCGTCCTGTGGCGATACAAACTTCTGTTTTTTCAAATAACAACCGCACTCTTTTATAGTCTTTTCTTGTAAATTATTAAGTGGATAATTTATTTGAAAATGTTGATGTACCAAATTCAAATTTTGAATAATTAGTTTCTCAGTTATTAAAACGTTGTAACATAATATGATATTAAAAATGTTCACTATAGCTTCCATTTTTTCATAAGCCCATTACCTTGGGACCTTTATTATTAGGAAACTAAGTTAAATAACTTAAAAACTAATTTTACGAATTTTGATCATGATACTTAGAATTTTTGAGAAAAAATATCCACTGAATAATAATTTGCAGTTGAAAAGGAGAGTTCTCATTTGAAATACAGAAGTTTGTATTTTCACACCACACTCCTTTAGTAGTACATAAAAAAAATCTCAAGAATTTTAAAATTTGATGTGAAGGACTTTAATAGTATGTTGAAAATTTCTAAAAAATAGGTGGTTTTGAATAACTGCATTATTGAAGAAGAAAAAAGGGGGTGAGCAATGAGCAGGCTTAGTGAATCTTCCTGCATGTGAGCTGTAATCATGCAAAAAAATGTGTTCACAGAAACTACAGGAACTATTATTATTATATAATTTAATGTTCTAATCATAATGTGAAGTATAGGCTATCGTAGGTCGATTATTATTCGTCTAGGGTTCGCGACGGAACTTTGTGTTGTCATGGAAAAATTATCCACTGATAATAATAATTTGCAGTTGAAAAGGGGATTCTCATTTGAAAAACAGAAGTTTGTATCCACACAGGACACTCCTTTAGTAGTTTTTAAAAAAAATCTCAAG